GGAGACACAGACCTGGGAGAGCGACAGAAACAGGGCCTGGAGAGAGGAGACACAGACCAGGAAGAGCGACAGAGACAGGGCCTGGAGAGAGGAGAGACAGACCAGGCAGAGTGACAGAGACAGGGTCTGGAGAGAGAGGAGACACAGACTAGGCAGAGCGACATAGACAGGGCCTGGAGAGAGGAGACACAGACCTGGGAGAGCGACAGAAACAGGGCCTTGAGAGAGGAGACACAGACTAGGCAGAGCGACAGAGACAGGGCCTGGAGAGAGGAGACACAGACCAGGCAGATTGACAGAGACAGGGCCTGGAGAGAGGAGACACAGACCAGGGAGAGCGACAGAAACAGAGCCTGGAGAGAGGAGGCACAGACCGGAGAAGGAGAGGGAGGGAGAATACAGCCAGGGGCAAGATGAGCTAAACCACAGTAAAAAGCCGTGGAGACAGGGAGCGTGAGGGATTGAGGCTGAGGCCCAGGGACAGAGACAGAAGACCCGTGGGACTGCAGGAGAGACTCTGCGTCTGGACAGATGGATGCAAGGAGCAGTGCAAACAGGCAGGGCCTTCCCCCAGCCCTGCCTGCCAAGGTCCACAGGTAAGAACACAGAACACAAGAGAGACTGCAGACTAGAGGAGATCTTCAGCCCATCTGGCCTGTTTGCTCATTAGTTGCTAATTGATTCAAAGATCCCATCCAACTGTTTCTTGTAAAAAACTCAGCTTCTACGATGTGTCTGGGCAGCTGGTTCCAGACTCCCACAACAGCTAGACTGTTGCTCGGTGCGTCGTGACTCAATTCCTCTCCGCATTCTGCTCTCGAAAAGCAGAAAACGAAGAACATGCAGCTGCTGTTTTTGAAATGTGATTTATCTGATGTTGCAGGATCCTGTGTTTCCTGACACAGAAACAGCTGACCACAGCATCAGATTAGTGCTCTGCTTACTGCACAGCACACTTCACTCTTACCTGTTTCTATGACTCTGCTCTAAGCCAATGTCTATTTTTAGTTTATTTTTGGTTACTACTTCTCTTTTAAGCTAACTATTGAAAAAGCACAAATTTATGGACCCTATCGAGAACTAATGTCGGTCCCTCTATAAAATGTTCCTGACTCTCTGTGTGTCTCTGACCCTCTGTGTCTGTCCCTGACTCTCTGTGTCTGTCCCTGACTCTAAGTGTGTCCCTGACTCTCTGTATGTCCCTGACTCTCTGTGTGTTTCTGTCTCTCTGCTCTGTCCCTGACTCTCTGCTCTGTCCCTGACTCTCTGTGTGTTTCTGTCTCTGACTCTCTGTGTGTCTCTGACTCAATTTTCAATTTTCAATTCAAGGTGCTTTATTAGCATGACCGATAGGTACAATCAGTGTTGCCAAAGCAAATAAAAATAATAAAATTCACATGGAACAAAACAAAAAATAGAAGTAAAATAAAATCTACAGACATGTTACAGACATTTACAACAAAGACATATTATATAATATTGATATATACTGTAGGCGGCTGGAGCATTATTGGGAGACGGACTCACTGTTCCTCAGGCTGTGACAGGAGATCACATACTGGGCTGCCAGATCAACTGAGTTCCCTCCTCCCTCTCCCAGTAGGATTGGGACCTGTTGTGGTTTTGGCAGGTGTGGGAACTCTGGGATTAGATTTCTGAATTTCGGGAAGAATGTTTCTCTAATCCCAGAGTATCTGTCACAGTGCAGTAGGAAGTGCACCTCTGTCTCTATTTCTCCCTGCTGGCAGTGGGAGCACAGCCTGTCCTCTCTGGGCAGCCAGGTCTGCCTGTGTCGCCCAGTTTCTATGGCCAGGTTGTGGTCACTGAGCCTGTACTTCGTCAGGGTCTGTTTCTGTTTGTTATTTTTTATTTTGGTCAAATATTCAGCTAGTGTGTATTGTCTGTTTAAGGTTCTGTAGCATTCCAGTTTATGTTGTGTTTGTGTGTGTGTCCCAGTGTGTGAGATATTGCTGTTTGATCTGTGCTGTGATGTGGTTGAGTCTGGGTTGTGGTGCTCTAGCAGTGCTGTCCTGAGGCTGGTTAGTGTTGGTGTGGCTCAGGTCGGTGAGCCTCAGGACCAGCTGGCTCAGGGGGCTCTGTTTTGGGCTCAGCTCTTGGCTCAGCAGGGCTTTGTGGTGGTAGGAATTTTGGTCGCTGTTTTTTAGGTGTAGCCAATACTTTAATATGACTTGAGACATGAGAGTCTCTGGCTCTCTCTGTGTGTCCCTGATACTCTGGTCTGTCTCTGACTCTCTGTGTGTCTCTGACTCTCTCTGTGTGTCCCTGATACTCTGGTCTGTCTCTGACTCTCTGTGTGTCCCTGACTCTCTCTGTGTGTCCCTGATACTCTGGTCTGTCTCTGACTCTCTGTGTGTCCCTGACTCTCTCTATGTCTTTCCATGTATCCGCAGGAATCGTTATGCTAGAGGCTCCAGCAGCAGCTCCAGTCTTGATATGGACACAGAGGGATCCCCCAGGAGCCCCCTGTCCCCTCCTCTAGCCCTCAGCCTTCGTGAGGAACCCAGCCTCCCTACAGACTGCCACACACACAGCTTCCACAGTGAGTACGACATCATTCAATCAATGTACAAAAGGACAGAATCCTTCCCCTGAGGTCGTGGGGTGAGCCAGGGCTGCAGCCTGAGCCCAACACCGTTCAATATCTATATCAGTGAGCTGGCAGGACTGCAGCCCCTGGTCTCCGAATTAGGCCAATACCCATTATTGATAAACATACAGAAGAGAGTAATAAAGTATTGGCTACACCTAAAAAACAGCAACCAAAACTCCTACCACCACAAGGCCCTGCTGAGCCAAGAGTTGAGCCCAACAAAGAGCCCCCTGAGCCAGCTGGTCCTGAGGCTCACTGGCCTGAGCCACACCGACACCAGCCAGCCTCAGGACAGCACTGCTAGAGCACCACAACTCAGACTCAAGCACATCACAGCACAGATCACACAGCGATTTCTCACACACACACAAAAACAACAAACTGGAATGCTACAGAACCCTAAACTGACAATATACACTAGCCGAATATTTAACCAACAAGTAACAGCAAAAAGAAACAGACCCTGAGGAAGTACAGGCTCAGTGACCACAGCCTGGCCATAGAAACTGGGCGACACAGGCAGACCTGGCTGCCCAGAGAGGACAGGCTCAGTGACCACAGCCTGGCCATAGAAACTGGGCGACACAGGCAGACCTGGCTGCCCAGAGAGGACAGGCTGTGCTCCCACTGCCAGCGGGGAGAAATAGAGACAGAGATGCACTTCCTACTGCACTGTGACAGATACTCTGGGATTAGAGAAACATTCTTCCCCAAATGTACAAATCTAATCCCAGAATTCCCACACCTGCCAGAATCATACCAATTCCCAATCCTACTGGGACTGAGATACTGAGATACTGAGACACTGAGAGTCTGAGACACTGAGATACTCAGACACTGAGAGTCTGAGACACTCAGGGACTGAGACATTCAGGGACTGAGATACTGAGAGTCTGAGACACTGAAAGTCTGAGACACTCAGGGACTGAGAGTCTGAGATACTGAGAGTCTGAGACACTGAGATACTGAGACACTGAGAGTCTGAGACACTCAGGGACTGAGATACCAAGATACTGAGACATTGAGGTTCTGAGAGTTTCAGAAACATTGTAAACCCTAGAAACTCAGAGACACTGAGTCAAATATAGATACAGATGACACTGAGAAACTGTGCTGTTGAGAGGGATCAGGAGTGTTTTCAATGAGATTTGATCCATTCTGTGCCAGTCGTATGTGTGAGACAGAGGAGTCCCAGCACACACACCTACAGTTGTGTCCTCACTGTGGTGTGTGACTAACACGATACAGTATGGCTGAGCAGAGTCTCTCACTCTGTGAAGTACATGAGCTGTGCAATCTGAAACCGCGCAAAACCAGCAACACAACCTCCTGTCAGCTGATTTCACAACACTGAGACTCGTGTTTGAGTAGATTCTCCTTCAGACACTACGCAACACCGAGAGAGCGTGATTGCGCGTTGAGACTGGCTCGGAGTGCGTGCGTTCACGCGAGTGAGCGATAAACCGAACTCAGTGCTCCTGTGAAAATCTCACCTCAGCAAAGCAGAAACGCCTCTGAAAGCACAAAATTGGTGGGTGGAAACTTAAAGTCGAATCCACAGAGCAAAGCATTTCATCCCTGGTTTTGGTCTCTTTCAAACTCCCGGCATGTCTTTGTGTCTGTTTCTTCTGGTCAGAGAGAGGGATGAGGAGAGAGGAGAGGAGAGAGG